GCCTGGCAGACGACAACAACAATCAACAAGGAGCACAAGTGTCCTGGATACCCAGTCTTCACACAGAGGGTGCACACACACATACACACATAGAGGTCTGGAGGTCAAAAACTGCTCTGCATAGCACACATCCACACGCATACAACACAGAATTCAAACTAGAATTCAATAGCTTGAAGTCATCACCTGATTTGATTCTTGATCCTTCTTACCTGGATCTGAATTCTTCTATGACACTGTCAATCAATCAAGAAAGACCCGTCTCCAGAAATACTGGCAGTGGTGGTAGTTATGTGCAGTGGAGTCAGTTTCAACTCATAGAGACCCTGTATAGGGTTTCCGAGGCTGTAAATCTTTACGGGCGCTTTTTCACGTGGAACCGCTGGTAGTTTTGAACTGCTGACCATGAGATTAGCAGCCAGAATTACAGAGCTCTCAATATGTCCAAAGCAACTCATGGAAATCAATCAGTCCTTCATAAAGACCGGAGAGAGTCTCATCTTTCATGGATTTAGCCTCCTAAGGAGAATACATTTGAGAACTAAGTAGCCAAAAGGGCAGGAGTGGGAGGTAAAATACTTACATCATAACCAGGCCAGCAGAATCCCCTGCTTTTGCCATTACATGTGATGCTTTCAAATGGATTCTTAGTACCTTAATTTTGAGGGAAAGGGTTTTTGCATGCATGGTTTCTGTCTATGACACTGAACCAAGAGAACTGAGATCTTTGGAGAAACCAAAGATAGTTCAAATGACTTGTGAGAACACATGAATTTATTTCTTCTAGCTGACAAGCGGAGGTTTCTTCATTGCAAAGCAGAACCAGCAGCCACCAACAGGAAAATCCTGCCCCACAGATAAAGAAGAGATAAAGCACCAACACTCAGCCTCAGGGACCTTCTCAACTGGGAGGAGGAAGGGTAAATAGGCTCCTTTGGGAGCACCAAGGCCATTTCTCAACAAACCAGTTTCAGAGAAGTTAGCTTATTAACATCTTGAGATCTTTGTACTCTCTTGGCCTACAGATAAGGGGGGAAGGGTAAGAGGGAGGGTCCCAAGGCACGGGGAGTCTACATTGTTGCCCCAGGAGAGGCCACTTCCTTCCTAAAATGCCTGGGATTTTCCATTTCAGCAGGGGAAGGTAATTTAGCACCGAGCAGAACAGATGGCCTCCTTGTACAGTCTTGAATCAAAAACACAACAGGGCAGATGTGCCTCTTCCTGGTCCTGAGAGACCTAAGCCCAGCCCCAGAACATTCTCTCTCTTAGAAAAGTGAAGTTCAGACCCTCAGCAGGGCACAAATAGGGCAGTGAACACATCAGAGCTAAGACCCTGAGAGCTGTCAAGAGCTTTGGTCTCCAAAACCAGCTGCCCTCCAAAATCAACTGACCATTTCCAAACAAATATGCCCCATGTCCTTAATATACTTTCCCCAAGTAACACCAGCACTTTTCCCAAAGCAGAAAAGTTTCCCAGAGCTTTGCAGGCCTGGTGTCTGCAAGAGGGATTCAATCCCAGGAGGAGCTGTTGAATCACCTACTGTTTCAGTTTACAAACTTGTGACATGTGACAAATGAAACTGCACTCTAAAAGTATCTGCAAGTTTCCTAGTGCCCAGTGACTTCCCTTTTTCTTCCTTGTTGCTTCTCTTATTAAATCATTGACCCACCCACCCCCTGGCCCCCAGAATACACAGAGAGAAAAAAGCACCACAGCTTTAACTTGTAAATTGTGAAAAACACCTTTCTTCCTGGGATCCTAAGTACAAAAGAGAAGGTAATTTTTTCCCCTTTACCTTGACAGAGTCCTGGTGTTGAGCTGTAGGAGTGGACTGCAAGATTGTTTGAACTGCAAGGTCAGTGGTTCAAATTTACCAGCCACTCCTCGGACACCCTACACAGAGTTGCTATGAGTCGGCACCGACTTAGTGACGCTTAACAACAACAAGAGCCTTGATTGCATTAATAGACCCATTAATTGGACTCCATCAACATGTAGGCAAGCAGTCATGAGCAACAACACTGAGAAGTGCAGCCAGCTCCGGAGAAGATGGTAAAGGAAGCACAACTGCCTTGGTTTCTCTTCTTCCATATGCCTGCGCCTCTTGCTCTCAGCTGATAGTTGCTCCAAATCAACAGTGATATAATCTAGTAATTAAGGTAGTAGTTAATAAAGGCTGACAACATAGCTTTTCCTGGCCATTTGTACATACTAAAATACAAAGGGTAAGCTCTCCAAATGGTAAAATCACTGAGAGTCAAAAGAAGGATGCTATCATGATAGAAATATGATGTTGTGTTAATGCTTTGGAGTAAGGGAGAACACATTTCTCCAACAAGCAGATATCAGCCCAAGACATTGAGGTTAAAACAGACCCATAACAGCAATATACAAGGGAGCAGCAGACCATCGCCCCCAACTCCTGCACCTTGTCCCACGCCCACACACACACAACTGTCCCCTTCCACAAGGTCTGGGGTTAAACCAGTCCCCTTCACCCTTGAAAGAGAAGACCCTGAAAGCTACTCTCAGATTGCTGAGATGGGCACACTTAGCAGAAGGCCTTAGAAAGGTCTTAGAATAAGACTCAAGTTGGATAAGCACTGGATTGTAAACCACAAGGTTGGCAGTTTGAGCCCACCAGCCACTATGCAGGAGACCTATGAGGCTTTCTGCTCTCAACAAAATTTACAACCTCGGAAATGCTATATAAGGTCGCAATGAGTAGGCACCAACTTGACGATACTTAACAACCACCACAGCAATAGATGAGCAAGCAAGGGTACAGATCCTGGCGGTAACTTCACCAGGGTCCCATAGCTGTGTGACCCCAGAATCTGTAGTCTAAGGTGTAAATTGTATTGGTGGCATCCAGACTGTTGAAATTATGATATATGTATTTATGTGTATATGTGTGGGTGTCCTATTTGAATATCATGTACCCATTTGTTGTTGCTAAGTGTCATCAAGTTGGTTCTGATGCATAGCCACCCTGTATAGGGTTTCCAAGGAGCAGTTGGGGATCTTGAACTGCCAACCTTGTGGTTCAAACTGACTCTGCAGTGCAGTGCATTAGCCTACAGCACCACACTATACTTCCTATCAAAAAGGACTTTTGTTAAGATAAAGCTCTGTGTTGTTGAGTCACAGTAGTATTTGAAATTTACTGAGTTGTAGCTCAAAAAAAAGAGGCCAAGGGTAGCTGGGAGAGGAAGCACCATTCAGTGCAAAACCAAGAACTCTGCTTGTAAGTGTCTGAGGAGCTCAAGGCCAAAGAGCTCTAAAACCAGAATCCTCCAATGATCCTCCCACTTGGTCATTCTCAAACTAAAAATCCAACTAAGTCCACAGGTCCACTGCTTCTGTTTAGGCAGCCAGCAGAAGAATGGGTGACCTTGATTTCCCCAGCAGGTATATGTCCTAAAATGTTATGAACAAACAAATCTTTAGCAAACCATTCCTCTCTTAAATGCCCTAGCTGTGGTCATTGTTTTAGTAATCATGAAGCCATCTCCTTTGCAAGGCAAATACATGACTAAGATGTTAACACTGTTTTGTAAATAACGTTTTGGTGCAATGTAAGAATTCCATTTGGGGGCTGGAGCTAATCCCCAGAGCTGTCTAGGTGTCTAGGAGACCGGTAGGGTGACTTAGTCTATAGCCCATTTGCATGAAACGAAGGATCCTCCTGCCAGAGGCGTCATCCAAGGGCAGAGAGGTCTGTACAAGCTTGATCCAATAACAAAGGTTCCAACATTGGAGGAGAAGCATGATTCAGAGCCTAGAGGCCTGTCTAGGTTAGGAGATTTCTTGCCAGTCACCTTTGGATTCAAGTCAAGTCATATAGGGAGAAGGAGCAGTGAACACAAGTTCCAGAAGATGCCACAGTTCTTCGGTTGATGTTCCTATTAAAGAGGTGAGTAGTGTTCTCCCCACTTCAGTCCAAACCAATTGGGCATGGATGTCTTCAGAACTACAGCAGAAACAGTACCCTCCAGGCACCTCTGGGTCTCCCAGACAGGAATAAGGTAGCAGGTTGTGGTGGAGGACCCCAGGTGGCTCTGCTGACAGCCCCAGAGCCCAAGGCAACCACTTTCACACAGAGATCAAAGTCTTCATGGAGAAGTTCCTTAAGGGGCTACTAGAGAGACAGAAGGGCTGGAGCAAACCTCCACAAGTGGACTGGAGCAGATGAAGAAGAAACTGGCAGGTACCATGTGGTGGCAAAAAAAGAGTCATTTACGTGTGCACCAAACACTCCACCTGGAGACTCCTAGAAAAAGCTTCATGAGATGTGGGCTGGCCAGATGTTCTTCAATAACTGGTTGTGGAGACAGCCAAGAAATAAAAGTACAGCAAATTATTGATCCTACTGTTCTACTTGTAACTCCAGGCTGGTGGGTTGTGGTGTGGTCTAAGGGAATTCAAGGCGGAACATCTTAGATGCTTTCAAATCCAAATTAATGGGAATACTATATCCTAACTTGTTCATCTGATAATTCAAGTATTTTTTAGAGCATAGTCAGCTTTAGTTTTTTGTTTTTGGGGTTTTTTTTTTCTTCTAAGACTTCGTGAATGACTTCAGCTTCACTTTCTCAAGACAGGCCAAAGTGCTGAGTCACTTATACAAACAAAAAAAAAAGAAAGAAAGTAAAGGAAGAGTGATCTTGCTCCTAGGGCTAGCCTCAATGATGACCTCAGCATTACTATTTCCCACTGCCCCCCTCACCCCCCCAACCCCGGGGTTGTGATTTCTGTGATGCTCTAAAGGACGTCACATTGCACAATCTTAATAAGTTTTCCAATCAGCCCCACCCGCTCTGGCCCCACACCCACCATCCAACAAAGATGATTTATCAAATGTGGGATTTTCCCATGAGTCTCAATATTAGAGTCTCAAGCCCCAATAAATAGGAGACTGGGGATGTCTGAGATTCATTCTGCCCTTGAGCCCACCAGGAACAAAAGAGAGCTCCAACTGCCTACCAGGAACCGAACTATGAACACCTTCTGCACCAGTAAGTGAAGGGAATTCCAACCCCTAGGGCTGCCTGGCTGCCGAATGCTGTGGGTGGGAGGGAGCGTGTGGTGTGTCGGCGGGTGGGGCTGGCGGCTGGCCAGCAGCTGTGCAAGTAGCTCACTAAGGAGCTCTCAGTTAAGTAGCTCCTTCCACTTGCTCTCTTCCTTTCCTCCGGCACAGGCGCCTTCAGTCCAGTTGCCTTCTCCCTGGGGCTGCTCCTGGTGATGGCTTCTGCTTTTCCCACCCCAACACCCCTGGGAGGAGATTCCAAAGATGATACCACCTCAAACAGACCACAACTCACCTCTCCAAACAAAACTGAAGAACTTGTAAATCTCATCCGTTTCATTCTCTCCCAAGTTGTTGAACTGAAAAACGAGGTAGGTAGGCTTGACTGGTGGTGAGAAAGTATTCATTGTTCTTGTGCCTGCATGTGGACAGGGGCATTGGGAGGTCTTTGCTAGGTTCTGAGACAGGTTCCAGTTGAGGCCAAAAGGGAGGTGGAGGGCAAAGGTCTTTCTGTATCCCTCCTCTGCTACTGGTCTCTGGACATTGCTTTCTTCCTGGGAAATACAGAAGGGAGTAGTATATTCCCGGCTCCACACTTGGCATAAACTGAGGGTCATCCCTTCTTCCTAATCAAAAGTATGGTCTTTCTGCTTTCTTTTTGCCCTTGGACTTTGGAAGGATTAGAGAAGTAACACATGAAATGAATGTTTGGTAGCTTCTCATAGCAACTGCAGTACTTTTCCCAGAGTTATTCCTGCTAAAATGCATACCATGGTGGTGGTGGTGGTGGTGGTGGTGGTAGTGTGCCGTGGAGTCAGTTCTTACTCATAGCAACCCTACCCTGTATATTGTTTCTGAGGCAGTATATCATTAGGGGAGCAGAAAACCTCATCTTTCTCTCGAGGAGCAACCGGCAGATTCAAACTACTGACCTTGCTCCTAATGTACTATACCACCAGGACTCTTAAAATGTATACCATGTAGCCCATAAATGTGGAAACATCAACAGCAGGTTAGAACAGCCACAAATGCTCTTTTTAGTTTTATTTAGTTTTTCTTTTTAAATAATTTACTGTGTTCTTGGTAAAAGTGTGCACAGAAAATTATGTTCCCATTTGACTATTTCTATATAAATTGTTCAGTGATATCAATTACATTTTTCACAATGTGTCAACATTCTCTTTAGCTGTGCTTTAAATGCAAGGGACCTGGCTTTTGTTTGGTAGTAAGGAAAGAGCCCAGAAGAGGGGATGAGAAGCTAGAATTTTAGTTTCTGTTCTGCTGAATCAGCTTTGTGATCTTGAGCAAATCCCCGACCACCTCAGAGCCCCATCTGTAAAATCACAGAGTTAGACTAGCTGATCTCACAGGTCTTTCCAGCTGGAACATTCATTCTATGGTTCAAATTAAATACCACATATCATCAAAATTGTTATCAGTTACCAAGTACCAAACTTCTCTAATTAATTATTTCAATTTACGAAGACGATGTTTAATTTTTCCCAAATGGAGATAAGGAAACAGACTCAGAATAAAAAGTCTGAAGTCATATGGGGAGCCTGGAATTAAATCAAGGTGTACTCAACTGTTCTGTACCTGGCTTGCTAGGATGGTAATAAGTTGTGATCTTTCTTCTTAACTTTCTGGCTTTGGTAGAACATGAATCGGCCCTCTAGTGGTGTTTGCTTTAGAGGCACTGAAATGATAAATGTGATGTCCTGGTGTGGCTCTGTAGGAAATAGCAAAAGGTCTGGACTGCTAACCAAAAAGTTGGTTCAAATACACCAGTGGCTCTTCAGAAACCCTATACAGGGTCTCTATGAGTTGGAACCAAGTCAATATCACTTAACAATAGGCGATAACAAGGGAGACCTGGTGAAGCAAGAGGAGCCTTGGAGGTGTGGTTATTAAAGTGCTTGCCTGCTAACCAAAAGGTTGGCTGTATTTGAACCCACCATTCCATACTGCGGAAGGCAGATGTAGCAGTGTGTTTCCATAAAGATTTAGTCTTGGAAATCCTATAGGGCAGTTCTACTCTGTGCTGCAAGGTCACAATGAGTGAGAATCGACTCAGTGGAAGTAAATTTTGTTTAGATGATAAAACTCATATGAAATTCCTTCCCAGATGTGTGACAAATATGACAAGTGTGAAAACACTGAAGTGCTGGCAGGAAATAATCTGAACCTTCCAAAGATGACCAAAAATGATGGCTGCTTTGAAAAAGAATTTGATAAGGTATGAACTCATCACATTCCCTTTTAGTTATTCCTTAAGCCAAAGCTCTTATGTGCAGTGCTTATACATACAGACACCTGCAGGCAATAAAGAAGACAGATGTCAAGTTCATGTAACTTTCATGAGGAGGAAATGTCGAGCTTTATTAAAAGGCTCATTAGAAATGGTCTCTCTGTGTTCAGGTTTTCATATATCTATCAGATTTCCATCAGATTTATCTGGTTGGTCCTGGGGAAGGTGGTCCGTTGACCTTTCTCCTCTTTGGCAGCTCCTAACAGGATCCCAGCCCCCTCTGCTGTGGTCACTCTGTAGGCCCTGCTTCTAAACAGTGAGAGTAGCCCCACTGACAACTGATTATCTCCTAAAAGCAGGTCTCAGCCCAACAGGAATGAAGAGTTAGAGAAAGGCTCCCATTGTTGCGTTCCAGCACCTGTTGAGCTTACAGGAAAATTAATTGGTGCCTCTGATTGCCTAGATATGTGAAATGGGGCCGCTGATTGGTCCGATGTCCCTAAACATGGTACCTAAGAAGTACTTGAAGTTCCCTGGAAGGACATGGGAAGAAGTAGCTCAAGGATACCTATTTTAACTTTCAAAATCTTCCTACTAACCCCCAATTTTTCCATCTTTCTTCTTAGGAGAGTTGCCTGGTGGAAATCATCACAGGTCTTTTGGAGTTCCAAATATACCTGGAGTACGTGCAGAACAAGTTTGAGGGTGAAAAGGGAAAAGTGATAGCTGTGCAGAATAGTGCCAAAGCCCTGGTCCGTCTCCTGAAGCAAAAGGTAAGTGTCTGCCAGCCCTCATCTGGCATGGGGAACCTGACGATGCCAGGCTGATATATTAAAAAAAAAAAATTACTGCATGTACAGGAAAGATCTGAGAAATATTCCCTAAGAGCTAACCATTTTTGTTGTTTTTTTTTAGTATTTTTTTATAGAATGCCTTATGCAAAGAGCATTGAAGGGCATTAATAACTGCTTTTAAAACTACATTATATGAGGTAGATTTTAACATCACTAAGAAATTATATATATATATATATATATACACACACACATAAATATATAAAGTTGTTATATATTTGAATCAGTTCCAACTCAGAGAGACCCTATATAATGTTTCCAAGGAGCAGTTGGTGGGTTTGAACTGCCGACCTTGTAGTTCGTAGTCCAGTGCTGATCCTACAGTGCCACACCAGGAGTCTACACACACACCTGCAGAAGGAGGCTGACCCAAACATGCTCAGTAATCTATAGTAACAGAACAGAGAATACAAAAATTATCTTAGTACTTTATTGCTAAGTGACATCTCCTTTTTCTTATTTATTTTTTCTTTGGCGGGGGGGGGAGGTTAGTTTCAATTCCCTTTTCCTACTTTTTATCAGAAGAGCTAATGCAAAGGTAGTTCTACCTATTCAAATACCGAGTAATGAAGGGTTGACCACGAAAAGTGGGAATGGGCTGCTGGACCATTATTAGCAATTTTCCTTAAAACCTCTAACACTTGAATGTACCCTCAGATCCTCTGGGCATCTTGTTATGAAGCAGACTCAAAAAGATTCATAGGAAAATGGAATTAAAAGATAATACAAATTTTCCACAAAATTTTTGAAGTCCCCTCAAACCATGCAGAGTCTGATTCTGCAGGTCCCAAGTAGGGTCTAAGATCTGTGTTTCTAGCAAGGCCCAAGTGAAGTGATGCAGCTCCAGGACCACACTTTGAAGTGCTGAGCTTAACAAGATACTTCCCACCATGTGGGTCTTTCTCTGTCCCCTCTAGATCAGTGTCCACAGTCTGGCACACAGTAGATGCTCAGTAGATGCTGGATGGGTAGATAACAGAGAGTCCAGAGATAAAACACAAGAGTTAGAGGCTACTTAAGAACCCACCCCTAAGGCTTTAACTGTAGGTCCTTCAATCACTTACTCATTCAGTTAACAAACAGCTACAAAATGCTACTATCTGCCAACCACTATTGCACAGAACAGAAAAGAAGATGTGGTACCATCTTCAAGATGCTTATGGCCTAATGGGAGACAGAACCACAAAGGGATGATTATAACTCAGTTGCTCTGAAAGGGGTCTAAGCAGGTGGGCTTGGAGGAAAAGCACCTCATCACATAAGATGAGTCAGGGCAGGCAATCCCAACTAATCTCATCTCCCTCAACCTTGAACATGTTCCCACACCTCAAAGCATCCTTCCACTGCAAAGGACTTCGTCAATGTTTAAAAAATCCATTCACTTTTTTTTCCTTCAGTTAAAGAATCCAGATGAAGTAACCACCCCGAACCCAATTGCTAATGCCAGCCTGCTGTCTAAGCTACAGTCGCAGACCGAGTGGCTGAGGAACACAACGATTAACCTCATCTTGCAAAGCCTCAGAGACTTCATGCAGGTCACCCTGAGGGCTGTTCGGATAATGTAACCTGGACATCCAAGATCATTGTAGTTCATGGGCATTCCTTCACCTGGGCAGGAACCTGTCTGGTGGGTACAAAACTTATATTGTTCTCTGTGAAGAACTAAAAAGTATGAGCATTAGGACACTACTTTAATTATTTTTAATTTATTGATATTTAAGTATATGAAGTTGAGTTAATTTATACAAGTGATATATTTATATTTTTAATGAAGTGCCATTTGAAGTATTTTATGTCTTAGTTTTGAAATAATAAAATGGCTTGAATAATACCCTCGTCATTTTCAGAGCCAGATCATTTCATGGAATGTATAGGCTTACCTCAAATAAATTGCTAATTTATACATACTTTTGAAGAAATATTTATATTGTATTTATATAATGTTTAATGTTTAAATTGTTTTTATACCAATAAATTGCCTTTTTAAAAAAAAATCCATATCTAAGACTGTGTGTGTCCTGTATAGCTTAATCTTGGCAATACCATCGTCACCAAACAATTAGTACACAAACACAGAAGAAATTAATTCAAAAAGTACCACTAGGGTTCAAGTTGATACGTGCACTGATTTATTCCACACCAAAACCTATTTAAATATGTCTCTGCAATCGGGATGGCTGTACACCAAGTCTATCAGTAATACACATGTCTTTGGATCCTTTTTGAAGGTTATGGAAACTGTTTTTTGACGTTCTAAGGGGCTTACCTTTTAAGTAAATAGCCTCAAAGAACACAGGACACTCACTGGGGCTTATCAGGAAGAAGTTTTCAGAAACTTGAAAACTGCATTGGTGAGAAAAAGGTTAGGAAAGTTGTTTTGAGGGATTTTTCCCCCCATCATTACAATGCACTATGCTGTGGGTTAATGCACCAGACTGCAAAGCCGTTTGAACTGCAAGTTCGGTGGTTCAAGCTCATCAGCTGCTCCTTGGAAACCCTATACAGGGTCACTATGGGTTGGAACCGACTCAACAGCACTAAACTAAACAACACCCATTTTTCAAAGGTGGCAGGGGCTGTCCCGCAAGAATTTCCTTGGATGTCTTGCCCCACTCACCTGATACAGCCCTGATTTTTGCCTCTTCAGACTATTTCCCAAAACTCAGCCTTCCAAAGGAACACAATTAAAGTCCTTGTCTGTCACAGCACATCCCACATTACATCTTACTTATGGAGTTTTCCTTCCACACAGTGTCTGAGTACCTGAGAAAGGCAAACTGTATTCATCTTTACATCTTAGCCCTCGAACCTGAACCCAGAACCCATTACTGACTCACAGTGATCCTGTAAGGCAAAGTAGAACTACCTTACAGGGTTTCCAAGGCTGAAATCTCTATGGAAGCAGACTGTCACATCTTCCTTCTGCAGAGCAGCTGGTGGGTTTGAACTTTTGGTTAGCAGCCAAGTGCCTAACTGCCATGCCACCAGGGTTCTTTGAACCTGACCGTTGGAGGTCTCAATAAGCATATGTTAAATGATGAAAGCATACATAAATGATCAAATATAAGACAATTCTATTCCTGACACAAATACTGACACCCAGTGAGTGGGGAAATTTCCAGTATTGAGCACTTACATAGCTACCTCTTAAGGAAAAATAGTAAGAGAAACATTCTAAAGACTTCTAGAAGAGGCAATGGATAGTCGGCACCTGTACATATACCTCCACTTTCTTTACCTGAAATTTCCGTTTTTTCACTGACAATATTCCTCAGCTATCATTCTTCCTTCCCTCTCTTTTCCCCTCAGCTCAGTTGTCATATGGACAACTACACATGACCCTTCTATACCACCTCAACACAATGTTGGAAATTTAATAAAGATTCCCATTTCCAGCCCCAGCAATATAAAGTTCTTTCTTCTAATAAAGCTTCCCTTCATTCTAACCCCAGGGGAAGAGTTCTTCTGGGCAAGGGAAAGTTCACACGTCCACAGGGGCAGAGCTGAGAGTGGCTGAGCAACTTCTAGAGACTACATATCATAAGTGGGCTCCCCCAAATCATGATCAAAGAGCAAAGAGAAATCACAGTTGCCAAATACATCCATTTTTCAGATAAAAAATATATTGAGCATCATATACAAGTCAGGGAATTCTGGACATACATAGCATGTTGGAGGAACTGAAGGGATTCTGAATGGCTCAAATACAGAAAGATGCAGTAGAGACGAGGCTGGGAGAGTAGGGTCTAAGTCAGGAAAATGTATAGAGAATGAACTGAATAAAAGCTTTAATATAGCTGAAAGATAAAGAGCAATTTTCCTAGAGTTTGTATTCTTGGGTTTTGTTTTAGTGGAGTTTTTCACAGTTCCTTCTGGTGGCATTATTGTGTCACTTTGATGACTAAGGTACATCTAACAGAGACCATGGTCTTTTCAGTTGCCTCGTATGGATGTGAAAGTTGGATAATGAAAAAGGAAGACCTGATGCATTCAAAATGTGGAGCTGGCAGAGTACATCATGGACTGTCAAAAGAATTAACAAATCAGTCTTAGAAGACATGCAACTAGAATATTCCTTAGAAGTGAGGATGCTGAGACTTCAACTCACTTATTTGGATACATCATCAGGAACGATCATAGTTACAAGAGGACATCAGGTTTAATACAGTAGAGGACCAATGAAATGAAGGAAACCACCATAAAAGGAACTGATACAAAACTTGCAACAATGGATTCAAACATATCAATTTCCAACATTAAAACATAAAGGTGGCACAGGACGAAGCAACAATTCATTGTGTTATACAGAAGGCTGTTACAAGGTCAAGCTGACTAGACAGAAACCAACAAAATCTGATGGCTTGCTCATGAGGCTGGCCTCCATTGGTAGAAACAAGAAGACTTAGAAAAGACTCCATTCTGTGTGGCTGATACCAGCAACAGAGCAAGGTACCAGAGAAGCAAGAGGTCAGACATAAAGGACAAGAAAGAGCTCTTTGTGGCAGATGTGACTTGAAAAATTCAGATACTCTGAAGCCTGTTAAGTGCTGGTGAGTCAGTACTGTATAGGGTTTCTGAGGTTAGGGAGCAGAAAGTCTCACTTTTCTCCTGTGGAATGGCTGGTGGGCTCAAATCATTGAACTTACAGTGCTTATCCTACAGAGCTACAGTGCTTCCCTACCCCAGTAAATTGTCATTCTTTTTCTCCTTTATAATATCCATAAGCTTTATGTACCAAGAAATATTTCAGTCTTGTGCTAGCTCAGCTCTGAAGAATGAAGGTTCGTGTCCACATTTTGGGACAAAGTGGACAAAGGACGGTTGAAATCATAGGAAAACTTAGATACAAGATTTCAAGAAATGATCAAGAGAAACCAAAGAGTTCAAAAAGAGAAGTGACAGACAACAGCCAAAACCTGTAAGACCCACCAAGAAAATCAAGAATCCTCAGGAGAGGTTTAAATTCCCTGTAGTCAGCTTGGGATGGGGACACTGGTTATTTGGATTCTAAATGAAAGGATTATCCCAAAGGCTTGTAGACATGTATGTTACACCATGAAATGTACCCCAAAAATCTCCTACAAGAGAAAAAGCTGGTAGGGAGACATTAGATCCCACTTCAAATACCAACTTCAGAGTTCTGGTGGGTGAAGGATGGGCAAGAAGTAGTAAACCAGCCCCCAAACAATGCATACACCCTGTAAGATTAGATTAATAATAACGATTGTTGTTGTTGTTAAGTGCCGTTGAGTCGGTTCCGACCCATAGTGACCCCTGTACAGGGTTTCCGAGGCTGTAAATCTTTATGGGAGCAGAAAGCCTTATCTTTCTCCCACGGAGCGGCTGGTAGTTTCCAACTGCTGACCTTGCGGTTCGCAGCCCAATTCGTAATCACTACGCTACCAGAGCTCCTTAATAATAACAATAAGAGCAATAAATTATGGTTCGATAGCACTGTGTACAGGCATGGTTCAATGAATGCCTTGTTCCCGAGGCACACATAATAATGAAATGATCAGGGAGCCTAAGCAATTTGTGCAAAGTCACAGGGTCTGTAAATCCCCATAGCTGACTGCTAATTATCCTTCCAAATCCATTCTCCTCTTTTTCCGTAGTAATAGTTTCAGTTAGACGTGTGGATGCCCATCCAATTCCTTTGACGTTAGATGTGTGGCTCAGCAAAAAAAAAAAAAAAAAAAAAAAAAAAAACACAGATAGCATAGCAGACCTGAGATGGCTATCCTCAGAAAGGTTACTTGCAAAGGTGGCCCTTGGTTGCATTCTGGAAACACTGACATAAAACATTCCCTAAATGCTAAGAGTGACTCACTGTGCCTCAACTGTTTGTACAAACAATTCTATTATGCCAAGTATTTGTTTTCCTTCTGGAAGTCTGAAATTTTGTGGTAAAAGTCTAACCCCCTAACCCCCAATGCATACACCATTTGGCCTTTACTGGTGGAGCCACAGTTTGTTTTGTGACATGTGAGTAAAGTACAGTGGTTTTTATCTTAAAGTTTTCTTGTCTCTTCCCTAGCCCTTTGGCTAGAAGAGGTTTTTCTAGGGACATTGCTTGTTGGCATTTCTGGGTTGCCACCTTCTTCAGTACTAAGTCTGGAATATATGAGGCAAAAAGATAACCCAGGATCTTTTTTCCCACTAGCCCCTTCTTCCAGAGCCTGCTCCTACTGCCCTGCGCACTCTGAGATCCAGGTTCCTGCTAAATTAGCTCAGCCGTCATTTCTTCCCAGCTTCCATCTTTATTATCTGACCCAACCTCCTCAGCCAAGGTGAGATGCTCTCCGACATTTACACGATCCAGGAGATGGCATGCCAACTGTGTCTAGAAATGGAGAAGACATTCAGTAGGACAGAGAGTAATAGCAATGAGTCGCTCATGGTGGAAATGCTGCAGCAAGACCCCGAGGATGAAGGGACAGAAAGCACAGTAATCCTGGGTGTTGAGATTGTCATAAACTATCATCTACAGGAAACCCAACTTCACAAAAGTAGCCTGCAAGAAGTGCATCAAAAATTACATTATATCAATCTAACGTTAACTTGA